AGAGGGCGGGAGGAAGGAAACTTGCCTGAGGTTTTGCCCTGTGACCTGGGAATCGAACCCAAGTCTCTCGCTTGGGGTCTAACCACTGAGCTACAGGACTCCACATCGGAAGGGCAGCACCTCCGACAACACAAGACTCCCCCAGCGCTGCATTGGAGCATCAGCTTAGACCGTGTGATACTAAGTCCTGAGGTTCGATGGCCTGTATTCTCGGTCACTCACCGGCTCCCAGTAATTGTAAGTCTCGTCGCAGTCGGAGATGTTGCTGATTTTAAAAACTAAAGGCATTAAGGGATATGGGGCTAAGGCGGTAAATGGAATGAGGTTAGAAGATCAGCCATGATCTTATTAAATGGCGGGGCAGGCTGAGGGGCCGAACGGCCTACTCCTGCTCCTATTTCTTGTGTTCTTACGGGACGTCTCAAAGCGCTTCACAGGGTATACTGTAAGGTGTAGTGACTGAATATTTTATGGGTGAAACGTGGCAGTCAATTGCGTACAGCAATGTCCCACAAACAGTCGTGGATTGAGTGACCAAATTATATATTTATTTTTTAAGGAATTATTATCCCCGGAAAAGCGATCCGTCAATTGACTAACAACCGGGTTCCTACTGACTGCTGGTAAACAGAGGTGCGTGGAGTAAGGAAACTTGCCCAACATTTCGCCCCCTTCCCGGGATCAAACCCAGGTCTCTCAGTTGCGAGCCAAGTGCTCTAACCACTGAGCTACAGGAGTCCACTTATCATGTTGTTGAGACTTCTCAAAGCGTTTCAAGGAACACACTGTAGAGTGTAGTAACTGTGTATGTTATGGACGAAACTGGGCAGCCAATTGTGATCAGCAGTGTCGTCGCTGCTAAGGATAAATTATTAACAAATTATTGTTAACAAATTGTTAATATTTTGTGGAGTCCTGTAGCTCAGTGGTTAGAGCACTCGCTTTGCAAGTGAGAGACCTGAGTTCAATTCCAGGCAGAGGGCGAAACCTCGGGCAAGTTTCCTTACTCCACACAGAGCCTAATAATAATCCCTCCAAAAACCAAAAACAATAATAAATTGGTCATTTTCAATCTACGACTGTTTTGTGGACATTGCTGTGCGCAATTGGCTGCCGCGTTCGCCCACAATATATACAGTCAATTCACTTTACAGTGTGTTCTGTGAAGCGCTTTGGGACGTCCTCCCGACGTGAAAAGCGCTATATCAAATGCAAGGATTATTATTATTATTATTATTATAATATTATTTTTGGGAGGGATTATTACCCCAGGAAATCAATACTCTCCAGGACTCCAGTCGTTGCCTGTTTAAAGATCGAAGCTCGGTTCAGGTGATTTTCTCGTCAAAGTCTGGCTCAGTGGGTGTGACGTCCGTGTCTGGGCCAGAAGGTCCTGGGACTCGAGGCCCACATGTTGACCTGAGCTCGCAGTGTAGGCCGCGGATGGACGTTGCTTTTCAGCCTTCAGCCACTCTGCCCCCACCTTCTGGAACTCCATCCCGCAGTCCCTCCGCCTCGTCCTCTCCTTTGCCTCCTTCAAGGCCCACCTCAAGACCCTCCTCTTTGACCGTGCCTTGAATCACCCTCCTTCCCTCCCCTGGGTCCTACACACTGTCTGTTCAGGGCCTTGGGACGTCCTTCTGATGTGAAAGGCTTTTGTGTAAATGTAATTTTGCTGCTGTTGTTGCTTTTACTGGTTAGTAAATACCTGGAGGATTAGAGACGGACGATCAGGAGTTGCCTGGTCTTCAGTCCTGTTTCTGAGCACCGTGCGGGGGGGGGGGGGGGGGGGGGGGGCGCTACATTGCAAGTTGTTGTTGTTGTTGCTGTTGTTACATTGTTGAAGATTCCACCCGTTGGGTGAGATGCCAAACCCCATGTTCTGGCAATGCTGGTGATCGGGAGGCTATTTGATGGAAGAGCAGAGAGTCTCTGGTGTCCAGGCCAGGCCTGTAGTGCAGTGGATAGAGCGCTCGCCTCACAAGCGAGAGGACCTTGCTCGGTTCCTGGTCGGGGTGAAACCATAGGCAAGTTTCCTTGCTCCACACACCTCGCTTTACTTAGTAGTAAGTAGGAACCCGGTTCTTAGTCGATTGGTGGATCGCTTTTCCCCGGATAGTAATCCTGTAATAATCCCTCAAAAAAAATGTGGTCATTCAAATCCACGACTGTTTGTGAGACGCTGCTGTGCGCAATTGGCTGCCACATTTCGCCCACAAAATACACAGTAAATTCACTTTACAATATATATTCTGTGAAGCGTTTTGAGACGTCTCAACGATATGATTAGGCTCTGTATCAAATGCCGAGATTAATATTATTATTTATTATTAATTGAGTACTTGAACCCAAAACCTCTTGACCCAGAGGAGAGCGCGCTCCCCGGGCTAGGCCAACTGGGGTTGACATGACCTGCCAAACAGAGTCGACCCCACTTGGCATCGTTGTTAGCAATAAAAGGTTTTTGAGGGCAAATGGGCCGAGAGCAGAGGTTTGTAACATTGGTAAGTCAAACGTGGTCAAATGTCCGGTCTGATTGCCGCACCGTTTCACCATTAGATGGTGCCATTGAGCCAAAGGTTCCTTCTCACGAGCTCCAGAGGAGAATAATAATAATAATAATCCTTGACACAGCCGCCTTATCCCGTCTTTGAGGCGTCTCAAAGCGCTTCGCACGACATATTCTGAAGTGCACTTTGTGGGCGAAACGCAGCAGCCGATTGAGCACAGCGACGTCCCACAAACAGTCGTGGATTGAGAGACGACCATTTTATTTGAGAGAGATTACTGCCCCACGGAAAACCGATCCGTCGATCGCCTAACGCCCGGGTTCCTACTGACTGCTGGGCAAACAGATCGTGTGGTGTGTGTGTGTGTGTGGACTAAGGAAACTGGCCTAAGGTTTTTCGCTGCCCGGGAATCGAACCCAGGTCCTCCCGGTCCTCTCGCTTGTGCTCTAACCACTGAGCTACACAACGTAAAACAAAAGCAGAGACGTGGCCGGAACGCTCGGCAGCTCAACAGCAGCTGTGGAGAGTGGAAAGTGAGTCAACGTTTCGGGTCCACAACCCTTTGTCTCTGACTCTTTTTTTGAAGGAAAAAAACCCCGATCTTCTGGGGGTGATTTTGCTTTGAGAGAATGTACCCACACCCTACAACCCCTCAGCGCTCCCATTGGCTGGTGGTGAGCGAGTCCCTCCCATTGGCTGG